GCACAGCAAGAGTGTGGCATTCTGCAAAACCCTAAACCCCTAAACCCCTAAGCCCCAGACGCGAATTCTCAGGTCTGGACGGGCCACAGCAAGGACAGCTCCGTGCCCACAGCAACGAAGCCCGGGCTGCGACTTCCCAGAAATATTTGCATTTAGGGCTTTAGGGTTTGAGGGTTTTAGGGCTTTAGGGCTTGAGGGTTTGAAGGTTTGAGGGTTTTAGGGCCTTTGGGTTTGAAGGTTTTAGGGTTTAGAGTTTTAGGGTTTTAGGGTTTTAGGGTTTTAGGGTTTAGGGTTTAGGGTTTAGGGTCGAGGGTTTCAGGGTTCAGGGTGTAGGGGTTTAGGGTTGAAGGAGCAGGGGTTTCGGGGATTGGGGGCTTATTGTAGTATTGCGCGTATAGGAGCTATGTTTATGAGTGGCCATTTCTACCTCAATGGAGCCTAGTGCTTTAGGGTGGAACTCACAGCAGCTGTGGGTTTCGTTTGAGCGCGCCTGTATTTGGCATTCCAACCCCGAACCGGCGGAAGGAAAGGAGGTGACAACAACAAAACGGGTTTAGGATGTAGGGTCTAGTCTAGGGACTGTGGGATCTGCAAAGATCAAAGGACTGTAACTATTTCCTATAGGCATCTCGGGTTTCGGGATTGAGCGGGAATCCCACAGTCCTATATGTTAATGACTGTTGATGATGCCGGTAAATCGAGGGTGTCGGGTTCCAAACCCCGTAAGAACCTGTGAAGATAGTGAAAACGCAGCTAAATCACATGTAACTCGTAAACCCCTAATAGCGTAAATAGGCCGGCCCTCCTACCCTAAACCCTAAACCCTAAACATTAAACCGTAAACCTTAAACCCTAAACCGGCCAATGGGTTCGTCGGCTGTCGGGACTTGGGATATAAGGCTCTTTGCTAGATGTTTATTGCTTTCATGATGTTGGTCATGGTATGTTTCTGCTTCATAGGCTGTGGGATCTTCCAACAGAGTTCACTGTTGCTTACCTTTCTCTTAGAGGATTAAGGATGAGATCTGGGCTTGGTCGGGGTTCATGCGCTTTAAGAGGAAGGTTTGATCAGTACCTTCCTCAGCGTTCTTTCATGTAGCTATATTATAAGATACCCCCCTAAACCCGATTCTACTCGATATGCGCCATGCCGTGCAGGCACCCAGACTTATGCAGGAATGCAGCGTTAGCAGATGGACGCAAAGATCAAAGTGGAAATTCGTCGGCAACACGAAGGGGTCTGTCACTTTGCACAAGTCCTGCTGCTAGGTATTGAAGAAGTGCCTGAAACCCTAAGCCCTAAACCCCCCCTAAACCCTAAACCCTGAAACCCCGAGCCTCAAACCCGAAACCCGCAACCCCGAGCCTTAAACCCTAAACGCGAAACCGTGATTTGCTGCGCTGGGCGTCTTGGACTTCATCTCGTTGGCTCGGTCTTGGGCTCCTGGCAGCCTCCTGCCTTCATGCCGGTTTAAGGTTTAGGGTTTAGGGTTTAGGGGTTTAGGGGTTTAGGGTTTGGGGTTTAGGGTTTAGGGTTTAAGGTTAAGGGTTTAGGGCTTAGAGTGCACAATGCGTATTTTCCCGCGCAGTGCCACAAAGCGAAGGATGTAAGTGCACGATAGCTCGTATTTTCCGGGATGAAGCTCGTTGTTGCGAAATTTTGTAGCTAAGTTAGAAGTCGCAGGATTACAGTATCCTCTTGGAGGAACTGGGGCGGGGTCAACGCAGCCTGTACGGCCATTTCCTAAACCCCTAAGCCCTAAACCCCTAACCCCTAAACCCCTAAACCCTAAACCCCTAAACCCTAAGCCACAAAACCACCAAACGCCACAAAGCGCTGCTTTTTGGAAAGCCCCGAGACGATGCAAAACACTTGAGCATCAGACAGCTGCTGACTCAGCCCTCGCGGGCCTTCCACAAAACTGCGCTCATTTTGTTAGGGTTTATAGGCTGTGGGGTTTAGGGATTAGTGTTTAGGGTTTAGGGATTAGGGTTTAGGGATTAGGGTTCAGGGTTTAGGGTTTATAGGGTTTAGGGCTTAGGGATGCAAACCGGGGACGTTCTCAGCCCTCCCCCCCGTCTTTGGGCGCCTGCAAAGGTGCAGCCTTCATGGTAACCCGACAGGGCAGCCAGAGTCTAATCATGAAGGTTTCCATCTTCGGAGCCGGGGGTGTAGGTTCCAAGGCCCCTAACCAGGAATCTCGTGTGGTTATGGGATCCTTAAGGGAGGGGGTTCTAAGGGGGGTATATAGCCCAACTTAGATTCCCTAAAGCTCCCTAGGACCCTCCCCCTTTGAGCCACCGTCCGGACTTAGGGTTCGGGCTTCGGGTGTCCTAACCCTGAACCCGAAACCCTAAACCCTAAACCCTAAACCCTAAACCCTAAACCCTAAACCCTAAACCCTGAACCCGAAACCCTCGAGCCCTAAACCCAAAGCTCAACAAGTCGGACAGCCTAAGCCCCAAGGCCCAAAAGCCAATAGTACGGTTGGTATTATAAATCCTGCATTACCCATAATAAGGAAGATACCATATTTCCCATAGTGTAGGGTCCTTAAGCTAATGCAGGATTTATATCATCAACAGTAGGACCTAAACCCCTAAACCCCTAGACCCTAAAATCCCTAAACCCTAAAACCCCAAATCCCTAAATCGTAGGACCTCTTGGCGCGCATCAAGAAGCGCTACAACGGGCCGGGTCCCTGGATTTCGAAGTGCCTTGAGTGGTTGCAGTGTCCAGGAACCAAAACAGGATTACCAATAGTATTCTTTAGGGTTCCTTACTAAATTATAGTTACCCCAAAACCCCATTCTAATTATCAAGGCCCCTACATTATGCAACTGTTCTAGTGGCTGCGGGCTTAAAGCTTTGAAGCTGCAGGGGGCTGAAAGGATTAGATCCAGGCTCTACTTGCGGATTCAGGTTCGCTGAGAAGTTCTTCGGGGTTCAGGGTGTGGGGGCCCTTGAAGGGTTCCTTCCACGGCCGGTTTAGGGTTTAGGGTTTAGGGTTTAGGGTTTAGGGTTTAGCCCTAAACCCTAAACCCCTTTAGCGGTTTCTTGATGGGTTCCTTTTGGGAGTCTTTTATCGGCCGATGGGTTACGATTCCTCTGTTTTGAGTTCTGATCTCTGAAGCCTAGCCTTCGAATGGTCATAGAAAGCTGCGCCTGAAGCGCAAGCCGTTTCAGATTTTCAAGTTTAACAACGTAGAAGCCTAAACATGTTATTAATACTAAAAACAGGATGCATAGTATGCATAAGAAGTACAGTAGAGCATACCACAGCATAGTGCAGCACATCATAGCATAGCATAGTACATCATTTTGTAGTACGGTAAAGTAAAGGGTAGTAGAATAGCAGTATAGCCCCATAGCCCTAAACCCTAAACCCTAAACCCAGTATAGTCATCTCCAAAACCCCGTTCCTCTGATCAAGGCCCGAATATTCCCAAAGTTTGATTTCCAGAAACGGTGTAGGATGTTTCGGGATTTGGGCCTTTGGCTTTCAGGTGTTCAGGGCCTTCGGCCGAGGTCTTAGCAGTACGATTCAGGGTTTGGGATTTGGGGTTTTAGATTTTTTGGGTTTAGGGTTTAGGGCCTGTTTTCGGTTTTGCATTCAGGGTCTAGGATGTTGGGTTTCAGGTTTTTTGTCTGGAAGAGCCTTCCATCCAAGACCGAGAAAGGTCGAATCAAGGTATCACGAAATACTAGAATGTACTATTTTGTATCATGCTATACTATGCTACACTGCACTATACTATACTTGTACACTCTACTACGCTGTACGTTGCTAAACCCTAAACCCTAAACCGAAAACCTGTACTATATACTATTCTATATACTATACACACAATGCGACCAAGCCTCCACCCCAAAGCAAGACCACACCACCGAAACTCAGGGAACTCTCGTTCGGTGGGGGGCCCGAGTGAGTGGGGGCTTGGGAAAATGCCAGGGTCAGGGTCCAGGGGGTTAGGGATTTAGTTTAGGGTTTAGGGTCCAAGGTTTTTCGTTTAGTTGTTTTCGGGTGTGGGGTTTTAGTGCTCAGGAATGCAACCCTAAACCCTAAAACCCTAAACCCTATAAACCCTTAAACCCTAAACCCTAAACCCTAAAACCCTATAAACCCTAAACCCTAAAACCCTAAACCCCAAGCCTAGTTGGGAATGCCTTTCAACTGGGGCAGCATGGGGAGGGCCTTTCTTCGAGGCGTCCTTCATGAGGGAATTCCATGCGTACGTAGAGAAGCTGGATTCCGGGTTTAGGGTTTATAGGGTTTAGGCTTAGGGTTTAGGGTTATAGGGTTTAGGGTTTAGGATTTAGGGTTTAGGGTTTAGGTTTCCGCGCCTAACACCCTGCACCAGAACCTGCGACAAAGTCCGCATGAAGAGAGATGTTTCTGTTCTGCTCGCTGAAGAGTGGCCACTGTAAACCCACAACGTGCGTAAATTCAGAGCCCTGAAGATTTGATATAGGGGCCTTAACAATCGTATATTGTACCAGTGTACCATCATAGCTATAATAAGGAACCTCTAAAATAGTATGGGCAGTCATTGAGGCCCCTATACTAGATGAGATGAGTAAATCCTACCAAACACAGCAGAAAAGCAGGCCTTGTTTGGGCTGGAGTGACTGCTTAGGGCATTTAGGTGCTCAGGGTTCAGATTTCAGCTTACCGGAGGCTTCGGGACTTAGCAACTGCTTCTACATGAGTCCGTGGAACAAAAAGGGGCTTAGGGTTTAGAGTTTTTGGGGTTTCAGGATTTAGAGTTGAAACCCTAAGCCCTAAACCTTAGGATTT